CAGGTTCGGTGGGCGGTGCATCCCTGAAAGATCTTCAGCATCTGGATAGAAAACTTGGCACCCATTTCGCTTGAAAGTGTTTCATATAGCGATTTTTCAAATGCCGAAATAAGCGTGGCAGAGCCTTGTGCATCATTGGCGCAGAGTGTGTGAGCGCTGATATCAACCGATTGCTCGCGCGGTCGAATCCGCAACAGTGCAGTTTGAGAAGCTTCTGGGGTGAAATGTCCTTGGAGTGGTTGTACACTGCAGAAAACATTGTGTTGATTGTCAATCTTGTTCTGTTCACTGGTACAGTACAAGTTCAAGAATCCACGGACATTTTCTACTCCCTATCGTCCGAACTTCTGTGAATAGAACAGATGCAAAAGCCTCTATGAGAGACCCACGCGTGTTAGGCTGATCAAACTTTCGTAAAAAATTAGAAAAATATCAGATTGGAAAGAAAGTCCGGTGACTCACCGATTAAATTGTTCTAGAAAAGTGATGAAGAAATATTTGGAATGTTTTCACACTGATTAGTGGAGAGTGCCCTTTGAGGTTTTTGCAGACCTGTATATCATGATGTTGTGGAAGCTTTCAGAGCCCCAACGTCTCCCAAAGGTCAAGGTACTTTTCGACCTATCATTGCATGAGTTCCCATAAGGCCATTCCGCCGTAGTCGAGGGGGTGATAACGCCTGTGTTGTCTGCAAAAAGAGAAGTCGCTCGCCACGGCAGTGTGTCCCGTTTGTATCAGCGCTTGCGAACTGGAGTTATTTTATTCGAAGGTAGGCAACGCGTAGATCGCTGAACAGCACAGAATGACGGCCGTTTACTCAAGCTTCTAGAGGCGCAGCCGAACGTAGCCGCCAGCGTAGGTTGGCAACCTCTCTAGGCTCCAGGTCCGAAAGGGATAACTGCCATGCTTCTCCGCAATCTCGGATACCACGAAAATTTTCTGTGAAGGATGGCACATGGGTTGCATCAGTCTGACGAAAGCGCACCGAATGGTCGTGACGAGTTTTTTCCTTGTTTACACACTGGAAGAACTTTTGTAGGATCTTGTGGTTGGTAGCGGGTGTGTTCATTCAGAAACTCTTTCTGCTACTCGGCAAATGCGAAGGCGCCGTGAGGATCAGGCTACGCTAAAGATAATGGATTTCGATCAGGAGATGCAACCGTAGCCAACTTGCACTATCCTAGCTAGCAGCCTCTTATTACCACCTCCTTTGATCCCTACTGCTTTCTTTAGAAGGCAAAAATTCCGAATGCTCAAAAATGAGGTCCACCTTTCCTCTTTGACGTAGTGCGTCCTATGAGAGTGGAAAATGCAGAAGCCTGAGCAAAAAAGTTGGGGCACTTGCGTTCAAGTCATTATGATTGATGACCTGTTGTCAGATGGAGAGTTGCCTTAGTGTAAGGAAAATTTGGTCCCGAAAATTGTGAAAGTGTAGCAAGACTTCTTTCAACCTGATATCATTACGGTTTCGATGTCATTGAAGTGTTCTTGCAACATTTACACTGTGTTCTTTATTGTGAAGCTGCGAAAGGACATTATTAGAGACTGCTCGTTCAAGGAAAGTCTCCTTTGCGCAGGTTGAGCTCGGAAACTTCCTCTAGGTGATTATCTGCTGTGCCCTTCCTAAAAATTTATGAAAATTAAGCTGCAATTTCTCGAGTAATCTCATGCCTTCAAGCCGCTCCGATAAGGGTATATATACAAGCTTTATAGAAAGATGAAAAAAAGACCTCCTGCATAGTCAATCCCTCACTGGGATGCACCGTGCACTACACTTTTTTTCCAGTTGCTGCAGCGCGATGACACTCAAATGGGATGTTACCCATTCAAAAACTAGATGGATTCAAGTGTGCAAGTCAATTCTCTGTCCCTAACGTTCCATTCCATAGGTGGAAGACTTGAGCCGAGGCCATCATTGTCTTTCTATGGCGCTGGTCCGAGGGAAGGGCGACTTGTTGAAAATGACGTTTTAGTAATTAACCTTTTTCGAGGTTATTGCATTATATCACGGTCCACCCTATGCAGCGTAGTATTAAAATAAACAAGCACAAACATGATTAGATGAACAAACAGAATAAATAGTCACTCAAATAAATACACTGACACAGGAGGTACCTCAACCTACAATCCATTTCACTTACTCAACTTTTCCTTGTCAGCTTTTATCTACCTTTATCTGCTATTAGCACTTCCTGTCATGGACCACTGGTGCCCTCCTCCCATTTCCTGAATAACCTCCTGGAACCAACTTTTCTCTGCTACTCCTAGTCGCACTGTGAGCCTTAAGACCTCCCGTCATAACGTCCTGTAGCCAGGGCACGCTATCGCGTTGTGATAAATTTCTACGAAACGCGACTCCTCTGATAGGAGCCCACCCCCTCCCCTCCTTCCTCACAGACATGCTTCCCAGCTTCCTACCAGTTTTTTTTCCAACATTTAACAAAATTTTACTACTTTCTCTCCAAAAATTTTGCTGTCTCGTGCGGGGAGGGGGGGAGGGGCGCGACAGGATCTTAACTTACATATTTTCATTACTATATCGGAAAATATGTAGTTAAAGTTTTATAGAACCCTGCCAGCCACGCAAACAACCTACGGGGGGGGGGTAGGGGGATATGCAACACCAGTGAAACGGGAAAAACCGCAAAAGTTCAACAACCAGGAAGAGTTTTTCCCAACGGCCGCAAATTCCTCGCAAAGACAATACGACCCCCCCCCCCTCCCTCGTTTACAGCGTCAAAAGAAACCAACTATCAACGAACAAATTTTTCTCAGACTAAATGCGACCCCCCCCCCCCCGGTTGCTGATTGTCACACGATTGCCGTGCCCTGCCTGTAGCAGTTCTTGTGAGTTGCTAGCACGTCCTGTCACCAGTAATATTAACTTTCCATCCTCCACATCGCTTACAGTAACCAAGTCGCCATTGATGTGCCATCCTCTTAGGTCCCTAGTGGACTTCCCGTTCTAGAGCCGCTCACCAGATTTTTGGGACACCGTTACTCCCTGCCACCCCATTTATTCCTCGCCCAACCACTGAGCACTTGTTGGTACCAACGTCCCGCTGTTACTGCAATGGGCGCTCGCTATTTCGTGACACAGCGGACACACATAAACACCTAGAGCACCTCTGGTTTTCGTTATGGCACAGATAGTTCAAAAAGGTGCTGAGTCATCAGTTAATTCACAATAACATCATATAAGGAGCTTTATTAATGTGTAGGGATTCCAAGTTAGAGTTAAAATGCTGTCCATTGTTTACAGAAGGAGAAAGATGTACAAGTACGTTCGAGTGCAGATGAGATTTTCTTGATGTCTAATCAAAATTGAAGATATTATCGTTGGAGATAAGTTCTGAAATAGAAATAATCAATCGTAACATAAAAGCGAAAATCTCTCTACAGATATATATTTTCATGGTTCCAGTTGGCAGTAGTTTTGGTTGGATAACTGCTGTCCAACACCGCAGTGCGCGCTCTGAAATTTATCACGAGCGTGCTTAGTTTTGGCAAAGGTCAGATTCCAGACGCGACTTGAACCCTCATCTCCCCCTTATCGGGCGGTTGCTTTATCCAAATCTCAACTTGTGATAACTAGTTGGCAGCGCTTGAACCGTCATCGGAGTAGTCGAAAAGGCAGTTATTAGGGTGACCAGCGCTGGACGAGCACTCGAATGAGGGAGATACTGCCACGCTGGCGGGAGTCCTGAGACAAATATGAGAAAACAGGGACCAGAGAGAGAAAGGATGACTCGGTAGCAAACATTACTAACAAGGTCCCATGCTGATATTCAACGCATAAGTTTTAGGTTGGAAAGAAAGTGCCTCGACATTCTGACCAAAATTTCCGACTAAATCTTCCATTACTAAACGACATCTTCAATCTACAGTAATCACAGCTTCTCGCTCATTCTCTTATAGAAGTACGGCAACTACAATGAAAAGAGGAGAACCTCATTTTCGAGTGAACGTTGATTTTCAGAAATTTTCGCCATCTGTCTGATGAATAAGCTGAGTACAATCGCATTCTCCGATCGAGATCCAAAAATTTTTTAGTGCAACCTCATCGCTACATGCGTCTCGCATTGCTGATTAGTAGAAGGAAAAGGAAGTTTCCGATTGAATTTAAGCGTGATTTCCCTCGACGACGACAAAGTGGCCACACAGGGACTCATAATTGTACAGGTCCAAAAGCACCCCGACATTTGCAGCGACTTCAATACCTGAACGCTTGCACCACAACCTATACATACTCCGTCTACGATACCTCACAGTAAACGCCCCCTTTTAATAAGCGGTGAAAACACTCAAAATGTGTTTCCGTTTCAGAGCAATTTGTTCAAAGTGTCGCAGGGCTTTCTTTCCAACCTATACAGTCTCATTCGCTGCCGACGCTTGCGAATTTCCAAGGACTAGGTTTGGCGCACCGCCAGCCTGCTCACCTCCACTTGTGTTCGCTTGCTTGCTTTCCACTATTAGACGAGAACAGGCTAACGGACATTAAAATGAACGGAACGTCTCGCGACACTTCTAAAATACGGCTCAAGAAGAAAATTCGAAGATATCGCGAATGTTTTCACTATTAAATGGCTGGGAATGTCCCATTACCTTCCTGCGGACGGGCGCGCCATGGGTTTGTGGAAGTTTCAGAGCCTAAAGGTTCCACCAGGGTCGTGTTACTTCACTTCACTCTTTCTTTGTACCGGAAAGTGCTCACAACTCAGATAATACTTCAGTGTGTATACAGTAACCGTTTCAGAGGAAATGTCTTACACTGTTTTCAGAATGCAGTTACTTGCTCTTATTCTTCTTTGACAGTTGCCTTCTATGGAATAATCCCTAAAAATTAATTGCTTGGATTGACCGCAGCTAAAATTCGATATTTTCAAGACGATGAACTAATAAAACTCAACAAATGCAAGAATGTTACAACCAATTAGTAAGAGCCAACAATATGAACAAACTTTCACGGCACTGAATGACGATTTTTTCCGGCTGGATGTGCTATTTTTTTGGGGTACTTCCTTTCTAGCACTATTCTTTTTTTGCTCGAGTTTTTTCTGATGTGCGAGTTTTTCTTGTTGTTCTTCGAGTTCCAGTCTCTTTTCCTCTTCTCTCAACTCTTCCTCCATCTTCTTTTCCAGAAGTTTTTTGCGTTCTTCAAGAAGCTTTTCTCTTTGTCGCTTTTTCGATTCTTGTCTTCGGACGATTAAATTAAGTGCCTTTCGCACATTCTCATTCGTCATATTGTGGCTACCCTGAAACAAGCAGAATAACAATGAGGATTGTTAAGGTGAATCCGTGGCGTTAACTTAACATGGCTATTGTAAAGCAGTAGGAACGGTGAGGGTGAAAGGTTTCGTTCTCATTCCATGTCAAATCAAACACGTTTTTTTTTCTTGCATCAATTCTTAATTGAAAAATGAACTTTTTTCTTCGATGTGTTTAACTTTCGTTGTTCGTATATTATCCTCTATAAGTTTGTACGAGTTGAGCGCGGTGATGCAGAGAGTAGATGGGACATCGACGGTGGATGGCAGAAAGTGATAGCAAGTGATAGGGGCTGATAAGGGACGTTGCCCTACCCATGCAGTTCATGGTGGTAGAGCCTTTGTACTACTGCATTATAGAGATTTAGTGAAAGGGACATTGATGACAGGTGACAGGTAATCTTAACAATTGATTAGAATACTTAAGAGGTTCCTCATCTCAATACCCTGTAGTAGACTTGCTGGAACCAGACGCTTTATTGTGCCCGCCCAGTGAATACGTATCTCTATATCTCTAATCCCATTATCTAGATCTTATCAACCTGCTGCAGTCCGGTTTCCCCATCGATAATGTTCGTTTCCTATATCCTATGTTAGATAACGTCTCAGTGTTTCCCACGCTCTGGACTTGGCTACCCTCTTCGGATTCCTCTTGTCAGATAATATATCTTGCGCACTCATATAGTACCCAAGATATTATATAGTATCCAGACACGATCGATATGAAAGTCAAATGTTTCAACTGGTCGAAGGCATTATAACAGTCGTGACAGAATCACAGCGCAACTGCTTATAGTGGAACAGTTAAGTTTGTCGTTGCACTACTGCATTGCATGGTGAACCTTATGGAATTGCTAATTTGACAGGACATCTGCATTCTTATATCTGTTCCCACTGGTCCATATCGGCAGGGCACAGCCCGAACTGGAAGGTAATGGTCCCGCCATCACCCGAACGAACATTATTTGGTTTCTCGTTTGGGGTGGCAGGTGAGACCGATACTTGTGCCAGTCGGGCTCCAACCGCTGCTCGAACCGTGACGCATTTTCTTTCCGAAAATGGGGCGGATCCTCTATGAAGTGGTGCTGGTTTCATAGTGTAACGGAGGCTTCCTTCACTGCCATTGAAAAGGCGAAAAGTAGGAAGACTAATGATCAAAAGTTACCCAATAAAAGACGCAAAGCTGGGCGCGGCCAGAGAGCGGGGCTCAGTGAGTACATTCGTTTCGATGAGAGTGCATTGCGTAAGTAACGACGTTGGAGAAAGTTTATGAAAATTGAGATTACCTATACTTCATGTGTAAAAAGTGCCGGAGCCCGTAACCTGCTGCAGTACGCGTGGATTTCCCTTTTCCAGTTCAGAGAGAGAGAGACGAGAGAGAGGAGATAAGAGAGAGAGAGAGTTTGTGTGTGGTGTGTGTGTGAGTGTTTGTGTCGTGCGTGTGTGTTGAAAACAAACAGGTAAAAAAAAGCTCAGAAGAGAGTCCATTCAAATGAATTTTGGAAAACATACGGCGCTGGTTTTTGGCGGACTTCGGCATAACCTGGTGTTGGCACAACTAACGGAGGGCCGTGGCCACGATTGCTGTGAAGTGTGTCCTATTCTAGATGGAATCCACCCGAAGAGATCTAGAATGCTCCAGAACGTATTCTTTCGTATAGTCACTATTTCATCGTCAAGAAGTGGACAACAGCTGACAAAAAGAAAACCGAAGTGAGTGGGCACTAGAAAATCTCCACTTTGCAGCTTCGGTTCTCTTTTTTGTCTTTTTTGAAAAATCCTCAAACCTATTAAATCAGCCGCAAATGTCATTGTTACCAACTGTGCGGAGATGCCACACTCCACGACGATGCAAAGTCACGGCAGTTCCCCAAAAACGTCATTGCTTTGTTCAGTATTGAGTTCTGCATCGATGGACTCCCTAGCCTCATAACAGTTCACGAACGCGTGGCTCTACTTCCAGGTCGCCTCCAGGTAGCAGGGATGTGGCTCTCTCGGCTCTCACAGTGCCTGCATATCTCAAGTCGACTACCCCTCCTCCTATGTATCTGTAGTAGTCTGGTTAGTTAACAAGAAATAAACTCTTGCTAGCGCGATGCCGCGACTGGGAAGTGACGCTCCACACTCACACCTCACATGCCACTTCCTCGTCGCGAGTATTCCGCAACAAGCGCTCTGGCCTGTCTGTGGTCATTTTTTCGCAGTATTTCCGTGCAACATGGAAGGCTTGACTGGAAAAGTAGAGTTCACAAAAATGGGTCCAGAAAAAATGCGCACCTCGGTGGAAGATTCTTTCTTGTTCTCGCTGGACGACGGATGATCAGCTGAATTGCCACTGGAATTTCGGCGTGCTTCTTTTTCCTAGAAGAGAGTTTAGGTTAGTCAAACGTGAGGATTATAGACGCTGTGAAAGGTATGCCGACCAATGTTATGTCAAGCTGACATCGACATGCTCTAGCCTCACTTTTTCTGGTGCGCTCCTTTTCGTGCGCTTCGGGCTCTCATCTTGATCCGCATCAACTTCCTGCGTTTGAGATTCGCGCTCTCCTTGACCCTGAAATTTCCCTACTGCATTTAGGTTGCTGAGCATATGGTTATGAGTATGTAGTTGTGCATTATCTGAATGATGATTTTTTTAATCTACCTCACTGCTCGTAAACAACCCCGCTCAGTGATAGTTGCTGCTTATTGGAGCTCTACATGGACAGCATTCGATTCTTATTGTGCAGCTTCAGGATACATTATACTA